TTCAGATCAATACATTACTCGAGACCCTAATTTGTGACAAAACTACATAAACAAATTTTCTTTGATTTGAATTTTTTAACTGGTACGTATGATATATAGAATTGAGCGTGTAATTTGGTGCTTTACTAAAAAATTTCCAGGCCATCGTGGTCCACTGGTAAATATTTTCTGGAAATAAAAACCTATTGTGGTTGGCCTGGGGTGGGGTAAGTCAAGTCTAACTTCAGCTGTAGCATTATGGTCCGTTTGATTGTAAGGATGAGATTTGGGTAGAATGAAAATGAATTTCAGGGAATTGAATTGCCTATAATTCATTTTATTGAGAATTGTCAATTAATTGTGTTTAATTTGTATAATTTTTCACCTGAAAAATATTGAAATTTTGGATCTTTTGATATTCGTTTTTTTTTCCATGAAAATTGTCCATTAAATGAAAAAAAAAATTTTAACAAATGAGAATAGAATTTGTTTCCATTGCAAAAAAAAAAAATAATAAATAAAAAATAAAAAAAATAAAATTGGAAAACCATTTTCCCACCAAAACCATGGGAAAATGAATTCCTCAAAAATCAAGAATTGGGCACGTGTGGGGCATAAGGTGAAATTTGAATTGCCAAGAACATTTAGCCAATCAAACATGGAATTTGAATGGAAATGGAATTTCTTTTTCGTTTTCCATGAAACTTTTCCTCAGTCAAACCGGACCTTAGTGAAATTACAAGGTAACATTCTCGATGCTATGAAAATGATATTGTTCCTTGGATATCACAGCCTGGTGGTGGTGGCGGTTCTGCTATCTAAGTTGCTAATTTTTTATTCATTTTCTTTATTATTATTATTATTATTATTATTATTAACTTTTTCTAAGGGATGGTAGTGATGTCGTAGCCGACGTGATTGCATTTGTAAATGTGATATTTGAGTGTGGATGAGAATGGATTAGGATGGGTGAGAGTGGATGTGGTGCGTGGAGCTTGGTAGGAGAAGATGAAATCTGTGTTAATATATATTTTAATAATTTTAACCAGGATTTATTTATTCTTTTGAAAAATTCTGTAATTTCATTTGCAATTTTTTCTTATTTTTTGTTGTTTTACTTCTTTCTTCTATTTTTTTTGTTTTTTGAAATAATTATTTATATGGCTGAAATGGAGGGAATAATGAGTTTTGTTTAGGATTGATTGTGTTAAAAAAAAATAAAAGTTGATCATAGATTTGTTACGTTTCACAAAAATTGAGGACGAAAATCAGAAATCAGGCAAAATCAGTAAACAACCTAAAGAAAACGAACAAATTTTTTTATTTAATTTTTGGACTAATACCCAACTTCAAACGTTATTTAGATACTAATTTGTGACAAAATCATAATGACTTTCTTGGGTGATGAATTTTTTTCAAATTATCTGATTAGTAACTAGAATTTATTCCGTGTGTCATTTGATAATCAATTCAAATTATGTGAAGAATCTTTTCCAAATATAAAGACCAATAAGGTGAAAAGTCAAGTCTTACTTATTTTTTGAACAATGATGCAAGTACAGGAAGAAAATGACATATTTTTTTTTCTAGATTTTTGAATTTCTCTCACATGAGGAGGCGAGGCCCACATGAATTAAATATTGTTAAAAACAACGGAACCCAAGTGTTGTGTGTATTCGGTACGATTTCTATAAAAAATTCACTATACCCATAGAGTGATTGTTATTTTTTATTTATTTTTTGTTACAAGAAATCCAAACGTTTTTTTCTAGCCGGCACTATGGATCGGAACTCATTGATTTAACAAGTATGCAACAATAATTTCTCTTTTGTTTGTAGTTCATTCTTGCTAATTTTACAGTGTAGTTAATTATTGTGTTTAAATTCTATTTGTTTTTCTAACGAGATAACAAGCAAAGAACAATAAGACATGGCATGGACATGGAGGTCTTCCTTGTCATACATTCCATTTAGCAAACGTAACGAATTGTAATTGAGAGACAAAACAAAAGGCGAGTTTCAGTAATTGCTAGTGAACTAGAACTTATTAATTTTCTCATCATTTAATTTCACCTATCATTTAACCAATCATTTACATCCACATAGACTGGGGATGCATCCCCACTGGGGATGAATAGTATTTCTCTTGTTAGCTAAAGATGAGAAAATTAATAAGTTCTAGTTCACTAGCAATTACTGAAACTCGCCTTTTGTTTTGTCTCTCAATTACAATTCGTTACGCTTGCTAAATGGAATGTATGATTTCACATATCATTTAACCAATCATTTACATCCATATAGATTGGGGATGCATCCCCACTGGAGATGAATAGCATTTTTCAGCTAATAAACTGTCAACTTTAATGCCACACATTCCTTTAAAAAATGTAAACAAATTTAACTGAGAACAAAAGATAATTTTCAGTGATCACTTTGAAATAAAATAAAGTTCATTGGGTGACATGGAACTTCGCCGTGAGTTGAGTGATTGTCTTTTTTTTTTACCCTAAATAAAAGCGTGTAATTGGATTTTTAAGCCTATCTTCGTTTAACTTTAAAAGTTAATAAAAAATATTTTTCTATTAAGTCAGTATTAATTACAATCATATATTCATTATTCACAACGAATTTTTGGAGAATCTTTTTTTGAAATAACGACAATTGGCACCAGAGAATAGGGTTTAAGTCAAGTCTTCCTTTTTCATTTGTTTAATCAAGAAATCCATTACCTTTATGCAAGGATTATTAATAGTTGGAACTTATACTTGACAAGTCAATATACTTTTCTAAGGAATTATTGCTGATATGAATAGTCTTTTCAGTAGCTTTCTACACAAATTCAATCTTACAGCTAATGCTATAAGTAGTATGCTTAAATGGTGAAAAATCAAAAAAGAATATTTAAAATTCTTAGTTACAATTGTTCACAAATTGACAGTTGATCAAAAGTTCTTTCAACATCTCCAATTGTTAGTCATTGTACTACTACTGAGATGGAGAGCCACTTTTGAACACTCCACAGGAATGAAAGATGGCATCAGGTGCATAGAAAATGAGAGAGAAGCTCTTCTTAAGTTTAAAGAAGAGCTTATTGATGAATATGGCCAACTCTCTTCTTGGGAAAATGAAAAATATAAGAAGGATTGCTGCAAATGGAGTGGCATCATTTGTAACCTGGAAAGGAAAGGAGGCCGAGTACATAAATACTCTTAATCTGGTGAAACTCATTGATCTTTCAAGCAACAATTTAGTAGGTGATGTTCCTGCTGAAATTACCAATCTTGTAATGCTAGTTGGATTGAACCTTTCAAGAAACAATCTATCTGGATTCCTTCCAGTAGAAAAACAGAATGAAATGAAGCTTAAAGTAATAAATTATCATTGCTGAATACAAGATTTTATACACGGTAAGAAGGATCTAGAATTAGTCTAACAAATTTGATCAGCTGCCACAACTGAATTGATTCTCTTTTCCTGGAAATAAGGAGCTCCTGTCTGTTGGTTTAAACGGTAGCTAGGTGTGTTTAGTAATGGTTTCTAACTCCCCCTCTCAAGGTGGAGCGTACTCAATCAATCCAAGCTTGTCTCTTAGCAGTTGGAACCTTGAGTGTGACATAGGTTTGGTTAGAACATCAGCCGTTTGATCTGANAGGTGTGTTTAGTAATGGTTTCTAACTCCCCCTCTCAAGGTGTAGTATGATCAATTACTCCAAGCTTGTCTGTAAGAAGTTGAAACCTTGATTGTGACATAGGTTTAGTTAGTACATCAGCCGTCTGATCTGAAGAGGGAATGTAGCTGATTTTCAATCTATTATCTAGTACTTTGTCTCTTACAAAATGCACATCCAACTCAATATGTTTTGTGCGGGCATGGTAGACAGGATTCGAAGCAAGTGAGCTTGCACTTAGACTATCACACCAGATGACAGGTGTTGTGGTTTGTGGAATCTTCAGCTCTTCGAATAATGACTGTATCCAAGTTATTTTAGCTACACAATGAGCTAAGGCTCTATACTCAGCTTCAGTACTAGACCTAGCTATAACATGTTGTTTCTTAGAACACCAAGACACCAAATTGTCCCCAAGGTAAACACAATACCCAGCCGTGGATCTTCTATCATCTGGGCAGGAACCCCAGTCTGAATCAGCAAATGCTGTGATGTCAAGGCTGTCATTTTTCTGAATGGTTAGGCCATGGTTTAAATTGCCTTTTAAATATCTGAAAACTCTTTTAACTACTTTCCAATGTGAGTCTGTTGGAGCCTGAAGGAATAGACTTAGCCTATTTACGGCAAAGGCTAAGTCTGGTCTGGTGTGAACTAAATATTGAAGCCCTCCAATTGCACTCCTATAGAGAGTAGGATCCTCCATTTCTTTTCCCTGAGTTCTGGAAATCAGTTTACCTGCAATCATAGGAGTTTGACTAGGCATCAAACCTTCATAGTCAAATATTTTCAACAAGTCAAGAGCATATCTGGTTTGCCTTAAGTATAAGCCTACATCATCTCTTTCAACTTCGATTCCCAGAAACTGTCTGAGGTCTCCCATGTCTTTGAGTGCAAAGGTGAGGTTTAACTTGTCTATAAACTCCTGCAGCTGCTGAACATTATTGCCTGTGATAAATATGTCATCTACATATATTAGTACAAATAATATATGTGAGTCTCTTGTCAAGAAAAACAGAGAAT